TAAAATCTGTCTGCACATAAAATGAAAATAAAAGATCCAAAGGGAGAATTTGGCCTCCTCCCTCCCCAACTCGCACACACACACGCACACATGTTGAGTTATTGCAAGTTGCAGCCTGTGCATCAAGCATGGCTTTGGCAGTGGCAGCTGGGATCCGTCCTCTGGAAGCCCACAGGCTCACTCCTCTCTTCCGGGTCTCTTCAACAGAGCACTGTACTTCAAGGGGACGCCGTCTGATCGCAAGATGACCTCCACCAAAGTGAAAACAGTAATGACCTTTAACGACAAAAGAGGATGAAAGACAGAGGTTAGCTGGGTGACAATCTCTCTCCCTCTCTCTCTGTATTTGCTGTCAAGTCGCGCGTTGACTTATGGCTTGCTAACCACCCTTGAGTCAGTCTGACCCATGGCGACCCTGCTGATGAGACATCTCCAAGACCCCTGTCCTCCACTGCTCTGTCCAGCTCCTGCAAACTCAGGATCTCTTGAATAGAATCCATCAATCCAGCATGTGGCCTTCCTCTCTTTCTGCTTCCCTCCACATTAGTTTTTCCCAATGATTCATTTCTTGTCATGATGTGTCCAAAGTACAACAGCCTAAGTTTTGTTGGCTTGGCTTCCAGGGAGATTTCTGGCTTGATCTGCTCTAGGACCCATTTGTTTGTCTTTTTGGCTGTCCACACTATCCTGAGCGCTCTTCTCCAGCACCACACCTCAGATGAGTTGGTTTTCTTCCTGTCTTCTTTCTTAACTGTCCAACTCTCATATCCATACATTGTAATAGGGTTTGTATGATTCTAACTTTTGTGCTCAGTTGTATATCATTGCATTTTAGAATCTTTTCTAGTTCATTCATAGCTGCCCTCCCCATTGTTAATCTTCTTCTGATTTCCTGGCTGCAGTTCCCATTCTTATCAATGTTTGATCCCAATGTTTGACTTATGGCAACTCCACAAAATTCACAGGGTTTTCTTAAGAACTCAGAAGTGGCTCTGCCAGTCCTTCCTCTGAAATGGAGCCTACAACACCATTAGAACTACTGAAGATGCTAGAAGTGTCTTCCTCAGTTTAATACTACCATGAGCACAACCAACACCACCTTATCTCAGGCAGACAACGCATGTGTGTGTGTATGCCTTTAACTCACCTATCCACTTAGGGTGACCCTATGAATTTCACAGTTTTTTCAAGGAATACTCAGAGGTGGTTTTGCCAGTTCCTTCCTCTGAAATATAGCCTTACAGCACCTGGTATTCATTGCCAGTCTTCCATCCAAGTACTAACCAGGGCTCCCCCTGCTTAGCTTCCACAGTCAGATGGGACTGGTACTAACTGACTGATATAAAAACAGCCACAGCTTTCAAGTCCAGAAATATCAGGATTTCCAAGAGTAAGAGTGAGTTTATCTACAACTGTATGGCCAAGATAGTTGGCTCAGAACCATGCCCAGAGGCAGTCTATTTTTGAATAGCAGATTCCATGGCAAATGGGGTGGCACTGGAAGGCCTAGAGAGCCACTGCTAGACAAGAGGCAATAGTGAGTGCCATGAATCATTGATGGGCTCTGGAGAATGAAGCTGCCTCCAAAATTTGGATAGTCTTTATTGTGGTTCTATTTATGCACTTCAGTTATTTATATTTTAGTGTGGTTTAACGGGTTGAGTGTTGGACTATGACTCTGGAGACCAGGATTCAATTCCCAGTTCAGCAATGAAACCCACTGGGTGACCCTGGCCAAGTCACATGTTCTCAGCCTCAGGGGAAGGCAATGGCAAACCTCCTCTGAACAAATCTTGCCAAGAAAACCCCATGAGAGGCTCACCTTAGGGTCACCACAAGTCAGAAACAATTTGAGGGTGCACAACACACACACACACATCAAATATATATAAATTGATTGAGTTGGTCTTCTCTAGCTGGGACTTAAATTGTACAACTCAGGCCTTGTATGAGATGTAATATATTACATCTCATACAAGGCCTGAGTTGTACGATTTAAGTCCCAGCTAGAGAAGACCAACTCAATCAATTCTTGAAGTGGGAGTCAACACACAGATAAACCCCACTGCACCAAAGGTCTACTCTAGTTTAGGACTAACTTAAAATTTGATTGGAAAGAAACTGAGGGGCATTCAGGCTGATCTTCTATGGAGCTTGCCAAGTGGGATACCTATAGCAGTGCATATGTACACACAGACAAGGGGTACATTTACACTGCAGAAATAATTACAGTTTGACATCAACAGAATAGAATCTTTATTATGGTCATAGACCGGTACAGATTAAAAGAGGAATAAAGAATAAAAGAAGGTAAAAAAACAGTATAAAAGTATTGAAGGCATCCTTAAAGTGCTGTCAAATTGAATTATTTCAACAGTGTAAATGCACTCTAGGACACTCCAGTATACAAAACCCTTGCTTTGCTACAACAGGACAAAAGGGACTAATCATGTGGATTAGAGACCAGAAATCAATGGCCTATGCTCAGTGACCTGCAAGTTCACCTGTGCTCAGCTTGTTGTTGCTGTTAACTGTG